AAACGACACCAACTAAAACCAGCCGAGCGAATCCAGCGCTGCGATGGAACTGATTGGAGAGCACAACCGCCGCGCTGATTCTTTAGACATGCGTATATACATATTTAGTATTTATAATCGTTTTTATTCGGGGGTTGTGCGAAAGCAAAGTCGAAGCGCGCTGTGGTTGTGTGATTATAGACATATTTTCTTACTTTCGCTGATACATACATACGTACATACTCGTGTATATGATTCTATATGTATGTATGTATAGATGATAACTTATATAATATACTGCTAAGTCACAATTAGTAACCACTGGCCGATGTGAAAATAAATTAGAGATCTGAGGCCCTATATCTATAAAATATATACATACATATCTACAAGATCAGTGGAGTCGGTTCAACAAATCTGTTTTTTCCTCGAGCTTATTCTGGAGTCTGTTGCCGTTAAACCGTTTGTTGCTGGTCTAGGCGTGATCTTGGGATTGAAGGAGATCTGTCTGTCCGTTTGTATATAACAACCCAAGAAGTTGCTTATTTGTCAGAACCGAGCATACCAAAACCGTTTAGCATATAACTACCATCAAATCTATTTTTTATTTGATCTATTTTTTATTTGACATGCAAAAACACAGTTAGTTGACTAGTTGCGCTTGCAGTTCGTGTCGGTTGTATGGTGGTCGAGATGTAGTTAACTCCACTACAGGGTGCACCCTTACTTACTTATACATATACATATATGTATGTATGTAGTTATGTTAACCGTTCAAAGGGTTAGACAAATCATTAATTACTGCTTATCATAAATAGACTCTTTAAAGAACAAACATGTTTTGGACATATGACTCAGCACTTTAGATTGTTTTGCACCAAATTTCTTAAATTTCGATATAAAAAATAATCTTTTGGGCACATGACTCAGCAATTTTTTATTCCCGAAATGAATTGCCATATGGAAACAGAAATCTTATCTCCCAAACAATTGAAAAACAAAACGTTTATAGCTTGGCTGCTTGTGTRTGACATGTATGTGTTAAAAATAATTGTGTCTCCATAATGCTAATTTTATTTTCAAACCGGTGTGTATGTAGCTACATACATATATTTGCAATAAATTATACTACCTGCCCTTTCTTGTAAGTATATATATGTATGTATACGTACGCGTGAGAAGTTGTTGTCGTTGACATTGAAATTAACGGGCTATTAATACCGGTCTCTTTCGCTCTCATTTTTATACAGCGTACTACACCCAAACCAAAAGAGCGCACCTCCAAATTCAAAACTTTAAATGAAAGCATATACATATATATAATTTTCGGTTGACCAAWGTTGGAGAATGGTAAATTGCATAAATAGAAACAGAATATAGAGAGTATGAGAGGGCAAATGAGCCCTCAATRGAATTATCAAACGAGCGGAGCAGAGAACATGGCGAACAGAGAAGTGAACGAAGCCTACACTACGTGACTTTATTAACGCCGGTGATTACTTGTTTTAAGTAATCCACGACGCATTAATCAATGATATAATTTATGCTCATATGCCATGATACCTCAACTTTGTATGTAGTTTCTTCTCACATTCTACAGTAATCCATGCTTAATTTCTTGGAAATATCAGGTAAAATAGAAAAGTTTTTCTCTACCGAACTTTCAGTTTGTGTGCCAAATTTTAGATCGATATCTTTAAAATTGAAGTGCATGGCTAAATCGAATCAGCTCGTRGGGCTGATCTTTTGTATATATATTTTAAAGGTTCTTCGACGTCATTTTCTAGGTGTTCAAAACTTTGTTGCAAAGTTAGCAAACCTTGTGAAGGGTATGAAAAGCAAATGGAGGTGAAATAAATCTTTATAGTATATATTGGGTAGTCGAAAAAGTCTGTTTCTATTTCAAATCAACTTCAACTTATATGTTATAAGGTACTTGAAGTATATTTTACGTACCGTGTTCGTCAAGCATAAGAGAATTGTTAAGATCGAACTTCCGGGGCATTGAGGAAGCCGTGTTAGGCAGTATTTTCTAGGGTTGGAAAAAGTTGAGTCRAAGAATCTGAGCTGTAAAATTTTTTAGTACTGTCAATTCGATATACTGTTATAGAACAAGGCAATAAATATTTCTCACGACGGTGTTAATATTAAGCACATCTAAATATTACCTAATATTTAATTATGGTGCAAACATTATAAAAAGGTATTGGTGAACACGTGTTCCGTAACATACCTATTTATCATTTTTTTGTAAGAGTATGTACAAATGTAAATGAGGAAAGGGCAAGCTTTTCTCTTGCATTTGTTCTTATTCCGAGGATAATAAATTATTCCAATTTGTAAACAATCGCAGTGACTATATTGTTTATTTTCAAGCATTACTCATCAATTAAACTATTCATTTAGAATACAAAATCATAAGTTACTCAGCAATGGCTTTCTTCACTCTCTTCACTTCACTTCTCTTGGAAGTTAATATACAATATACCAGGCACTTCAAAGGCAGCGAAGTGGCCACCCTGGTTGAAGTATGTACTGTGCACTAAATTCGGAAACTTGTCTTTGAGCGCCCAGTCAATGGCAGGAGGCAAGTCGAACTGAAAGCGAGCGCAACCCATAGGCACATTCGTTGGCACGCGATTCAGGCTCAGAGCCTTAGAGTCACTGGCGAGATTTTCGGCGTAGAACCGTCCTGCTGTCGTGACCGTGCCGGTGAGATAGTATATCATGAGGTTATCTAATATAGCATCTAATTTGTACGTTCTGTCCATAGCGTTGAATTCTTGATTCCGACCAGCACCAGTTGCCAATTGGAATTTCTCCAGTAAGTATGCGGCCAAGGCAATGGGACTAGCCTCCAGTGCAATGCCAATGGTGTCCGGCTTTGTTGCTTGTATGTGGAAGTAACCGGACTCAACGATTAGGAATTTAAATTTATCCTTTAGTGGAAAATGATGATTGTAGAAGAAACGCCCTGGTATAAAGCGCTCTGGCATCCAACTGGCAATGTACGATTTTATCGTAGCTAGTGGTGTGTATAACACACACATATTAGAATGAAAGCCGAGCACATTCTCCGGGAAGAGTGTGGAAATGGCGCTGCCAATGATGGAGCCCCAATCGCCACCCTGTACCAGAAATTTGTCATAACCAACACGTAACATTAGATTCCGCATGACAACAGCCATCTCTAGCGAATCGAAACCGGGTCTGGTGGCAGCCTAAAATGTGAGAAGTCTGTGAGTGGCAGGGCACTGAAATTTTATGGWAGTAGTTAGCTCACGTCCGAGAATCCATACCCGACTAGAGAGGGTGCAATAACTTCGAACACATAATCATTGACATCGGACACCTCCACCAAAAGCTTTATGAACTCGTAAAATTCACGCACAGAACCCGGCCAACCGTGCAGCAATAACACCGGCACCACTTTCTTCTCCTTACGCGCCTCCTCTGACGGCTTTGCGTGTATGAAGTGAATCTTCAGCCTAAACCAAAAGCAATAAAAGTAATAAGCAAGTCGTTAAAAAATTTAAGTATTCGGCTGTTTGGCTCACCCTTGTATCTCGGTTTTAAAGTGCGGCAGCGAGTTCAGGTAATCTTCATGTGCTCTCCATTTGAGCAAGTAGTAGTCGCGCCAATAGTCGACAATGTGCCTAAGCGCTTCCGAATTGAAACCATATTCGAATTTGATATTTTCCAACGGCGCTGTAAACTTCCAAGTACGATTGAGTTGTGTGCGTAAGTCGTCAATAATCTGTGGGGAATATAGATGGTTGCATTAGCACTCAAATAGAATTGAGTGTCATTTCTACAAACCGTTTGATCGTATTTGATTTCGAAAGGCACAATATCTGTTGGCGCTTCGTAGTTTACAGGTTTGCCGGGTCCCCAGTAGGTGTWATTGCTAATTTCTGGCTTCGGTAGCGGCTTAATGAATTCGTTGACCGCGCGGTAAAGCCAAAACACCGAAATGGCCAATATGACAATAAATATAATTGCCTTCATATTAATTAAAGTCTAACACAAAGCACTCAGCACCTCTACTGCTCGAAACTAACGCAACAGAAATAATTAACGTTACTTTTTTTGCTTTCTCGAATCGCTAATTGAATATGCGTAACGAAGAGGAATCTGCCGAAATCTCGTCTACTTGCGCTGACTGCCAGTCACATACTAAATGAGTTCTCTTCGCCGTGTTGCTATTCCGTTCGTGCTCGTTTAATAGATATGCGCATTGTCTATTTTTTCTGTCTAATACAATGCTTTCACTGATATTCTCTAGTCGAATTTGGGGTTTTGTTGGCAGCACATTTGGCGAAAACTAACTCAACCCAGCACATATCAGTTTAGGCGCCAAGCTAACGGCTTTAATAAGCTACTAAGCATTATTTCTCTGTTTTTATTAGGATCATGTGAAAATATACAGCATTAGCTACTCTTCTAATTGAACTTCTGAAATACTATGTAAAAATCCATTATTTCTCTAAACGGGTTAAAAACTTTGTTTTTGAAATTTTTCGTATTCTTAAGGCCAAATATTAAAGGAGATTATTTTTACATATCTTCGTTGACTTCTTGGCAATCCAAACAAAGTAAACTAAATATTTTCTTACCTACGAACATTTTTTATTTTGCGCGAATCAACTTTGTATTTGCGCTTGTAATGCCTACACCTGCTCATCCCGTTTGCATTTTTAAAACTATAAATACAAWTATAGCCACGTCACGTGTGTTGCGCAAATATGCCCAACTTATAAACAAACTAGAATCAAAATTAAGCTTTCAAATTAATTTCTTAACTGTCATAGGCCAGGGAATAACCTCATAATTCAAATTTAGGTTTTTCGTCGACATTCTCCAAATAAAAATATATACATAACCAAAACCTCCCCGTGTTTAGATATTACTTACGAATTCTTATAAAATGTCTCTTTTTTGCTTGCGTTATAATACTTTGTCATATCTCAAAGGAACTTTTGAAGCATTTGCTATCATTTATAATTACTGTCCAAACTCGAACTTATACCCCCCTTATTTGCTTGTGTTGATATGACGATGGTCGAGGCWTTTATCTTATCAACCGCGATAGTAAATATTATATAAAATTATACAGTTCAACATTTCATCTCACTGTATACGTATTTCCGATAGGTGCACTGTTGTTGGCAATAGCCAGACCTTTGTATGCAGATACAGATCGAATGTTATCTATGGTTGACGTGGATTTACCAACGCCCCTCTCTAACCCTGTCTCTTATACACATCTCCTTTGTATGCAGATACAGATCGAATGTTATCTATGGTTGACGTGGATTTACCAACGCCCCTCTCTAACCCGCTGACTAGTGTTACCACATATTTCCACCAGGGTAAAACATTCTCAGTCGATTGTACCCATTTTAGCCAATACCACAAACTATTAATATGCCAYATTTCATTTGAATTTTTTGTGGGGTTCTTTAAGGTACCTCACACACCATCTACCATATGTGGACAAAGTTAGGCGGATGGTCGAAAATTATGATATAAATATGGGGCTCATGTTTTCGTCCAATGTCATCCATTTTAAGCACAAAGATACATTGTTATTAGTTGTAGTAAAAAATACTCTCTCATTTTCATTGAGATAACTCACAYATTGACCGATATATGCGGTATAAAGTCCCATGAAAAATCGAAAATCTTWATATTAGGTGTATGGGGGTAAGGGAAGCATTCAATTCAATTCAATTAATTTTTGACATTCAGACATACTATTATACTATTATCAGGAAAGCCGAATTTAAATTACACATATAACACACTGACCGATATTTTCGGTAAAAAGTCAACTGTAGGCACTGGGGTCCTCACATTCAGTGCCAAAGGGGTGCGAACAGTTTCGGTTCGATTAGGAAAAGTTTTAGTTTTAGTAAAGATGATAAACTCTAATTTATTCAGGCGAAGTCTTATCCCGTTATTTTAATAAGTGCTTCATTTGTATACTGGAATGTGAAGGAATCAGATGAAATTTCAAATGGGGTTAATATCGGCCGAATAGCACCCAACATATGGATTTTCACGAAAAAGGGGAGGTGCCACGCCTAYTGTCCAAATTTGACACCCTTCGCCTATAAACCATTCTCATATCATCTCAAGTGTAAAATTTAGAATTTTAGTGTCTCTGGCATATTTAGTTATTGATTTGTCACACTTTTAGTGGTAGATTCTAAAAAAAATCGTGATGTGGGGGTGGGAAGGGATATCATCCGATTTCGCCCATTTTTACACCAACGTAAGGMCGGTTGAAAAATGTATTCTGTACTTGGGTGACATAGCTTTATTGATGTGGAAATAGTGACGAAGCCACGGCACTTTTTAAAAAAATTTCAACTCACAGTTGCCACTCCTTAATGTGATTCGTTGTGCCACATTTAACTTCTTTATCTTAATTTACGGCTTAGACATGGCACTTTATACGTTTTCGATTAACGCCGACTACGCCCTTCTACAATACCGAACTTTCCACGAATACAAGGAATATGTCTACCAAYTTTCATCAGGATAGCTTATTTTTTACTAAAGTTACAGTTTGCACGGGCGGATRGACAGACAGAAAGTCTCCCGGATTTGAACTTGTATGACCAGATACTGATTATTTATATACATACATACTTATATAACCCTATATCTAACTCGTTTAGTTTTATGTGATACAACTGGTAAGAACAAATCTATAATACACCGTACCATCATGTTGCAAGAGTATAAACATACATATTAATTTTTTGGATATTGAATTCCGTATAACTTAGATCAATTAGATTATTTAAAATATTAAATTAAATGATTAATGACATTTAAGGGTCTAAGAACGAAATATCAAAGATATGCTTAAATCACTTACATTTTTATGCTTAGAGGGAAAGTTATATCTAGGAGCAAATATTAGCTGGAAAAAGTATTATTAGGAGCTCGAATGAATAATTTCTATTTTGATGAGCTTCAATTACTTGGTTCCGCCTGTAAACCACTTTTCTAAAAATTCTATTTACGGACGTCTCGATTGATTCACTTTATTAYAGATAACTTATAATGGGAATTTAAAGTGTTCAATGACAAGTTTGTGGTACTAAATATGTACCACTATTATGCAATTAATGAAAATCAGATAAGTTTGACTGAGCGTCACTTTTAATTAAATGTTTTCCATTTAACTTTAAATATTGACATGCTGTACAAAGTATAATAGTTCTGCTTCCATAGCCGTTGTTTCTAACACCAAATACTAATACAAAAAGACATACAGTTATAACGTATATCAAAATTCAATATTATAGATAAATATCAGACGAATTGATAAAACTAAATAACAATAATAATATACTGATAAATTAAAATATTACACAAACAAACATTGTTTAGTAAGTAGATTAAAAAATTATTGAACCAATCGTTACAATTCTTTAAAAACTTTCATAATAGACTCCTTCTGCGTCGATGTAGCGCTGCCCGCAAGACTTCCAGACATTGAAGGCGTGCGGAAGGTATTCTCTGGAATAGCCTCGATAACCAAGGTGATTCTCAGCGGCCTTTTCAGGAAAGGAAAAAAAAAAAAAAAAAAAAAAAAAAAAAAAAAAAAAAAAAAAAAAAAAAAAAAAAAAAAAAAAAAAAAAAAAAAAAAATAGCGGAAGTGTTGAGATGCCTTGGTTAGGTACCTGCTCACAAGAGAGGTTCTGTGAGTTGGTGCGTTGTCCTGATGCAACTTCCAATTGGCTGCGATGTCTTATCGGACCCGATTGATCCTTCGTTTGAGTGTCTTGAAGGCTTCCACATAAAACTTGGCGTTGGTACGGTTTGGCCGTGAGGAACAAGATGAAATTATATTGGTATTTTGAAAATATAAGACATTTTCTGTCAGTGTAGTTTCACCAGTGCTCACACCAATACTCTCCGACAAATGAATGCGGCAAATGAAGTTCTGTCGTTGACCATGTTGGCAATCTACAATAGATAGAAGGCTAAAAATATAGTTTTAAAATTGTATCGCGACAACTGTATAAACAACAACAACAGTAACAAGTACTTTTTAATCATTAAACATTTCCCCGACTCAAATGTCAATGAACTATTGCCCACGTATGCCAACAAAAAGTAGGTGATGAGGTGGAAGGACCTGGGGCGTGACGCCTGAATTTTCCTCRGRGCATTTAACTGCACGCACAGATCRATCGGGTGCTTGSGGGTTGGAGGTGCGCTTCGYTGTTTGCCGTTAAATAATTGAAATAACCACACTAATAACCGCAACGAAAGCAATAACAACAACGCGACGGGTGGAATGGGTGGAATAATAGATTGTTCGTATGTTAAATTTAAACCTTCGCAGAACAAATGCCTTSAAAATAGAAATGGCGAATGGGCGGAAGAGCTTTTAAATATTTAAGTGCTTGGCTGGTCGGACATGAGTCGAAGGCTTTTTCTGTGCAGCACAACAACTCCCAGTGCACTTTGAAAAGAACAGAAAATGAAAATAGTTTGAAAATTAACTCAATTATATGCCACACGAAAGTGTTGCATGCACCTCGCCAACATGTATTCGATTTTTTTTCGACGAAAGCTCGAATCTTTTTGCGTGCGATGTACAGACCTCGTGTTCCGTTAGCGTAACTGTCGACTACTATGTGTCTACCACTGCTTTGCCCCTTCACTTGTACGATTAACGSTTTCCACGTTGCAACATTACAACGTTGCAAGTTGAAGCTCATTGAAATTGGCTCTTGGAAGTGCTTCCTCGGTTGGCTTTCGGTSGCGTGCCAATCGCTTTTGTGGCAAGTTGAATGCAGTAAGAAAAATATGTTCAACAAAAAAGAACCAACAACAACAATGGAGTGCGGGGTAATCGAGTTTTGAGTGTTCGCGCTTGCCACCGAATCGGTCATCGTGTAAATGACACGACTGCGGAAGCGCGAGTTGTGCGGCGCAATCATATAAAAAAAAGGCGCCACTGAAATTGGGCGATCATTAATACGAGTCATCACCAGGACGATGTCTGTTTTAAGCAAACCTGCACACATTCACAATTAATGGGCGTGAMGCGGAGGGAAACTACAGGTGAATTGTTTGTTCGATTGTGGCAAGAAAACACTCAAAGTCCTAATTACACGACTCATTAATACTTTCAATGCACTGTGGGCTATCGGCTCCCTGGTGAAAAGATATATCTGAAAAAACAAAAAAAAAAAAAAACTTGCGTTAACTGTATTAACTACAGAGTTGGTAGCTGCTTTCACCACCGACATATGTCGGTGTCTTATTTGATTCGATAATCTACAGATAAGCCTCTGGAAATGTGAATAAATAATCTCATTATATATTTATGAAGTGAAATCATCAACCAATTAATTTAGCGGTTTTTGGGATATACTCAGAGAGCATTGTAAATTCACGAACTATTTTTTAATTTCTAAAATATAAAAAAAAAAATGTACGTTTGTTGTAATTAAGTAAAGTAAAACGTAATAATTCCATCACTTCTCTATGAATCGAGCATTTTCGCCCATAATGCGTTCATTTGATTRCTATACCGTTGTTTACTCATTGCCGTCTTTCACTGAAAGGCGTGAGTTTTCTACAAATCGCAAATCGCTGCGGCATCGGAATTGTTGCAGTCCCATTAGCACAATTTCTTAGCTGTTTCGTGCACTCCCTTTAATGGCTGCTTGTTTTTGTGTAATGCCACTTAATTTGCTCCGCACCCTTACGTGAGAGAGTGTTCTTCGTACCCTGAAGGGTGTTGACGAATTGCCGAGGAGTTCAATGACATTTATGGAGCAAATTTTTACKCCAATTACGCATTTGCTAAAGGGCACATTTGCTAAGTGCGAAATWAAGTACTGCAGGAAACTATTTTGTGTTATTAGAGATCAGAAAACAGTTTCTATAGTAAACAACTCAATCATGATAGACCAGAGAACTTGTTGCTTGCCTTTTGGAAGGCGGTTTTGTCAGAGAACGTAGAATAATTGCAGAGAACGTTTATCATATAGACGTTCTCTGATAATTGTTGCATGTGTTCTAATGTTATGTATGTTATGTAGGCGCGTCTGCCATGGAAACGGATGCTCAAATTGGCTTCACAAACTTTTTCAGCGATTCGCTATGGCGTTATCTTTCGCTTAGCCTAACTGAACCACAATGACGCCTAAAAGTATGCAGAATATTGCTGCAATTGATTTAATACTGATACCAGAGAACGCCTACTGTTCTCTGTATATTATACGTTCTCTGTGATATATTTTTATTTTTATTTTTTTAATAATTACTATGTTAACAGTGAATATACGTACAGAATTTCCTGCTGAATCCAAATAACTAAAAAATTACGGCTGTTTATAGATGTGATTATAAGTCATCAACGTTTAATTGGCATCACATCATATCGCTCTCATGACATCACAACGCTCGGTCTGCCTAGAAGCTCAAATCAGCGTTTTTATTGTTTTTTCTTTCTTACCGACTCAGACAGCGTTAGATCATCGAAATACCAGCTTTTGGTCAGATCCTTCGAACATCTCAGTTTTAAAAAAAGTAATATTCGGAGGTGTAGAAAAGCGTTTTCAGATATTTGTAGGCCCTGAGGTGTTTTTTATAGCGAGATGTAAAAAAAAAAAATCTTCGAAAGATACTTTTGGGCTTATAACAATAGGTTRGACTTTAACCCACTAAAAAAAAATCTCAAGAAACGACATATATTCAACATTCTCTTTTCCATAGGCACAAGATTAAAATTTCAACCTTAGGATGACCACATTTGTGAAGGTACTCCTTAAAACAGCCATGACCACTTAGAATTGCTTCAGCTAAAACTCAATGTCACCATGCAGTCTACAAACCCTGGATTCAAAATGTTTAGGCGCTAAGGGTGGTGGCACACATCTGACCACAGTCATGAACGTAAATTGTTTCCATAAATTATACACACATATCCTTAAGATTTGTTTACTTACATTTATCTATTTATTTGGTAGTTCGAAGTGTCATCAAGTAAATCAATGAAATCAACCAATATAATTTATTATCACACGAAATATTTGGAAAACAGGCGTCTTCTCTTCTTTTGTAGCGCGCGCTTTGCTTTGCTTGAATACCAAAAGTTTTCGCGGGTGTTAAAGACTTTCGGCACGCGAAGTAAAAGTGCAAGCCGAGACATTAGCTAAGGTGTCTGCGCTGAATACTCAGCAGCTAGCGCTTCCGGCGTTCCCTACGAATATAATACATAACTATATATTCCGTTTGTTCTTTATTCAGTTATTTTGTCAGTTTACAGTGTTCTGCGGGAATTGAAAAAGCATAACAAAATATATGATTGCTGCTTGAATGGATTTTTGCGACAGGGTCATGGAAATTTGCTTTCAATGTATGCAATCTGATTGACACTACCGCAAAAAAGAATTCAATGGATGTCATGATGGTCCTCGTTAATAGAAACTACTTTAATTTTCTCTAGTGTCTTAGGGATGGTTGTCGGTACGTGAAGCTTATCCTTGAAATATTTCTTATAGATTTTAGACCTAACCTAAMGATAGCTTTTTTAACTAGCTTCAAATTTGCCAGCTGCCTTATTATGAACCCTTTCCTTCTGTCGCCCGTGCGAAATGCGCCCAWTTTAGCAGTTGATGTTGTATTTGTTAGAAATAAATTAGCGCTGGTTTTAGTTTCGTATTTAATGTTACGTGAATTGAACCCATCTGYTGTTGTTGTGTTAACTCAAAACTAGGTAACTTTTCGATATTAATACAAACAAACAAGATTATGAGTATACATACTTGAATATAGTACTTCCATAACTTTAAACGGTAACGGTCGCTAGCATTCAGTGAAAAAAAAATGCAATAAATTAAATGGTTAGTAATATCTATTTTCTAGGCTAAACTGTTTAAGGCGACATAAGGAGGACCAATTTTCGATATGCGATTCCTAATTTATACACCTATAGGACTTTACTTCGATCAACATATCATACAGCTATGTGTTATATATGTTGCGATAAATATACATATATGTATATACATATTATTCCTACACCAACTTTTTCTCTCAAATCCCTTCCTAAAACTACTAAGCGCTCTTATTACTCCACTAGCGGCTCTCCTTTGGCATCGTCCCACACAGGAAAGCGTTCTTTACCGCGCTCGGTGCCGTTTTGGTATTCATATCCCGGGTCGATTGTGCGATCAAAGCCAGCTCGCTTGACACGCTTCACACGCCTATGAGGTGTGAGCGAGTCCCGTGGCACCTCCTGTTATCAATAAGTAAAGAAATTTCGCAAAATTGTGAAGCAAGAAATCTCGTTTACTCACCTCGACTAGACGTAGCGTTGGCCAAGCAGCACCGGGGCCACCAAAGAGTGGCTCGGCGTCCGTTTGCCCTGGCCYGCCGATAAGGCAGATGCACAAGCAAAGCAAAAGTAGCACAAAGCTCGTGGCGGATTTCATAATTGTTCTATTTGAAGTGTCTTTAAGCAATGAATAGAATGGACTTTATGCCAGCGTACAATTACTGTGTGCTCAATTCACTTTCACTGGTAGTTCCACATGCGATCGTCTACACTTGGACACTGAACTGACAGAGAGTGGGTTTTTTCTAAAATAATATTGTATACATAATTATTTTCTCAAAGAATCACACACACTCAGCCATAAGTGTGTGTATAGTTAAGTTTGTTTATATGCTTCTTCTACACATTTCTTTTATTTCATTAAATATTTTTGTTTCTATTTTTGTGTTTCCATTTGTTTTCGCTTCTAGTCGAATTTCATTCGTCATGGCGCCGCAGCAGGCRTTGGGGGTGGTGTGTTGTTGTTGTCGTATGTATTGCGTGACATTTCTCTGCTGAAATACAAAACATCGATTTGAACAGATGTTTTCGAGAGAGCAACAATGCCGCATTCTCCGGCGTCGCAGTTGAGGAACYGAGAGATCATATGATCTGTGTCAGCTGTTGATCGCTGAATCGAAAGTGTTTGAACATTGTTGTTATTGCATTTGTATAAAGAGAAATGTGTATTCTCTTCTATATTTATGGGGCAMATAAGCGCCTATAAATGTAAACAGGGAGTTGCGTATAGCTGTTCTGATATCGAATTATTGACGATTTCATGAATCTCAATGTAAAGCACTTTGCAAAGTTACTTGCAGTTTTCACGTGTTTCTCTTTTTCTTGGAAGTGCTGTCAAGCGATTTCAGATCCGTCGTAGATGCAGTTGATGAATGACTGGGGAACACCAGTATAATTATGTTTCAAATACTAAAAATTTCGCATGAATTGAGCTACCAAAACCAGATGTTTATTGTGCAATATGTTTAAAAGTGGACAGACGAAAAGTACTTTCACAATAAGGCGGGCAAGCGGGTTAAGTTAGGTTAAAAGGTCGATCCTAAGAAGTGTCTCACTTGGACAGCTTAGAGCGCCGGTCCGTTGTGGTCCCTATAAGCTTCTATTACTGGATCATAAGACCTTTGCAGATCAACAAAGCGCTTTGTTGAGACAGCTATCATCAGTTTCGACTATCTTTTCTTGTTTGCTAAAGGTAAGATTACCGAGTTTCAGCCTCAGTCTTGTAAAGCCTGGACAATKGAGGAGAAAGGAYTTGAATATTTCTAGCTCATTCTTCTTCAAACAATTTTGATAACTAGCGTTCGACAATATATTAAGCCTTGCCTCATGAGTGCTCTTTGGACAGTAAAGTAAGAACTCAGACAGGACAGAAGTAAGAACKACTACGATTGCGGCAATATGAACTTTGCTCTGTGCAGTTCAGTGTGTAGTTCAGTATATYTCATRTGTTCTWCWCCAGAAGGATATCGCACAGAGAAACTCCCCCTCTAACCTTCCCCCTTAGCTTCGACCCATCCCACCCAACCACATCCTCCTCGTCSCTATGTGAGCAGAGAAAAACCCGAGTGGCATCTGCGACRCARTGATCTAAGTTTACTGAAATCCAGTTGAAGTAGCAGAGCATATCGACGTGTTCTTGTTCGGACTCCTTCWCATACCCAGCTCTTTTGAGCCTTAGAGCACACTTCCCAGCAATGCACCTACCGGCAAAGTTCACGGGGACTATTTTCCAAGCGGCATTAAGTGCTATTGCTGGTGCAGTTCATAGTGCACTAGAGATGCCGCAAGTGCAGCCTTTTCGGGCGTCCTCCAATAGACCAATGCACCAGAGAATATACTTGGCTTGACTACGTAGAATCAAAACACTACCTTTTACTCTTCAGAAATATACATTTCACATTTTTGGATTAAATGGTATGATTCTATTTGGCATTCCGGATGAAACCTCAAGCAACTCATGTTTTTTTCCGCACTCCTTGGTGAATGCAGTGTTCATCAGTTAAGGCCTTAAGGTTAATGATGATATGTAAGAAAATATTATATTTAGCCCGCTTTGGAACAAACAAGAAAATGAAATTTGATTTTACTTCAGCAATTTGACTTTCTTTCATATAGGAACATATGCTCAAACTATTGAGATTTGATTTTGATAAGACATTAAAAAACATCCCCGAAGTATGAAATATGTTTTAATTAAGAGCAGGAGAACATTTAAAATATACTTTGTTGATCATATTTCAAAAGACTCCCCTCTTTTCAGTCATTATTTGATAATTTGCAGCGCGGCTTATTGATAATCTTTTGTTCAAGCTGGAAAGGGACTTTCAATTTGGGGATTTTTTTWAATTTTAAATTCTGCATATAAAAGCACTATAAATATTTGCAGTATCTGTTGCAAAGTAAACATTCGGTATTGAACTCACACTCACTGCGCTTTGAACACTCGAACGAGAGAATTGCAAAAATGTTCGTGAAAGTATTGATTTTAATTTGCTTTTTGAGCGCAGTTCTAGCTTATCCCAGAGATGATCGACAGGATCCGTGGCGCCAAGTAAGTAGACTATTTGACTATTGTCTATCTATATTCATGATAATATTCTTCTTTARCAGAACCCACAGTCGCCCCAAAGGCAACCTCAGTTCAATTTACAGGGAGGTGGCAGTCCTAAGCAAGGCATAGATTTGAGCCTTGATACACGTGTGCCCGTCTGGCAAAGCCGCAATGGTCGACACGAATTCGACGCCACCGGACAGTACTCGCAACACTTGGGCGGACGATATGGAAATAGCCCTCCAAATTGGGGAGTGGGCGGCCAGTACACTTTTAGGTTTTAAACCTACAGCAAAATAAATATAATTTTATTAAATTATACTCAACTTGTTAACAGTTATAAGAAATTAATAAAAAAGTAAATCAGTTTTAGATACTACTTCTTTATTTCGTCGAAAAAATTGATCGTCATTCGTCGGTGTTTTTGAGTTTCAATCCTTTTATAGTATAACAGTTTAGTGCATAAACGATGGAGATCACTTTGAAGTATACCTGTATTTGTGAAGTTATTCAATTTGACGAGATATTAAAATTGCTTGCGTTGAAAATCATGGGTGGCAGGAAATGCCATTCATACTATGGTCTTCTCCCATCTTATGAACTACTCAAGCAAAATTATCTAAAACAAGTAAYTATATGACAACTTCCCAACTACTAAAACCTTTGGTTATGGATGTACGCCTCTCCGCGTAACTAAATGTTAGGTAGTCGAAAAAGTCGTTTCCTATTTTGTCAATAGATGTCGGTGCAGTTATATATCTCCAGTGCTACGAGATCAATGAAATTATGTAAAAGATTGACCATCCCATAAGGAACGGTTTTGAGTCATTTAAGAAAGGCTGGCTAAAMAAAGGAACTCAGTGTTTGGGTACCATAAGAATTGTCTGTGAAAAAATGAAATCGAACCATTTCTGAAACGAATGGTAACAGGAGACGAAAAGTGGATCAAATACGACAAYAATGTGCGAAGAAGATCATGTTTCAGGCGTGGTGAAGCTCAACAAATGGTTGCAAAAACATGATCGACTCCTTGAAAGGTTATGGTGAGTGTTTGGTGGGATTGAAAAGAAATAATCCGCAATGAGCAATGAGTCTGGTCGATGAATTGATTCTACATTTTACTGTCAACAACTGGTGAGCTAGAAGCAAACTATCGAAAAAACGGCCAGAACTGATCAACAGAAAGGGCTTTGTCTTCCATCAGGACAACGCTAGACCACACACATCKTTGATGACTCAGCTATAAATTGTTTCGCTCAATGCAGAACTTCCTTGTTGGAGTAAAATTGGCTTCGAGAGAGGACTGTGAAAATTACATGTCGTAGTTTTTCAAAGAGAAACCAGAAACATTTAACACTGATAGAACAATGTCTCCAGCGGAAAATGACAAAAAGTGGTCGAATTAAACGGTACAATTTTGGTTCGTTAAAGTTCATCATAAATTTATAAAAAAAAATAAGTTGAAGTTTGATTAGAAATACGAAAAGACTTTTTCACCTACCAATGTTATGCTTGTAAAAGTTTATACTTTGGCAGGAATGAAAAAGTGTCCACTATATACACGTATATTTCCAAATATCTTCGCTTTGGCCATAACACAGTGGCGTTGAAGCCACTTACGGTATCAACGTATAACGGATAGAGTAAAATTTATGCAAAATATAGTTACGTGAACAAAAACAACAAAAAAAAAAAAAAAAGTGGTGTCTAATATAATAATCGAAACCTTCAACGAGTTGACTTATTCCGGAAGGTCAGTAATCTTAAAAGCAAATAAATAATTAATGTAAACAAAAGTGTGTAAATACCGTCTCTTTATTAATTRACGAGACTAATGGAAATCCCATCGATGATAAGCATTGCTGATGATTTGATAAAAACACCAAAGCAATAAATCTATTAATTAAATGAAAAAAGATTTTCTTAATAAAAGAAGCAAGTCATGACTAAGATAACATTTTTAGCAACGGCTATGTCTGCTCTTGGTTGGCTCTCCTAAGAATTTTTCAGATTTATGAACTCATATTCAGCATGTGTCTATGTRCGCTTGCTTTTCGCTTTTTTCACTTTGAGTGAAACGAATTTTTGTGTATACAATTSACAATTAACCTTCTAGGAAACAGTCAAGAACCTCATTCGCGCCCTCTGCCCACYGACGAACACRCTAAGCGCTCGGTCACTGCATTGCAGGGGCGAAACGGTAGACATTATGGCGTTCACAGCGCACTTCGGCGGTGAATACGAGTACGTGTGGCTCTCACTTCTTCTGACTTTTGTTTAGTGTGAAGAAACACCTCGAATGCCAACAGAAGCTTTGGTTAACAAGAAAAAATACTCTTGGGCGTGAACGCGCATTTGTACATTTTGAAGTTTTTTACGACAAACGAGGAATTTAACGAATTACTTGCCGTAATTGCTGTACATTTTTAACGGTGTTCAAAGCGTCAAACCAAAAGCTAGGTTGAGTGATGAGCTGCGATGATGAAGTGGCTGAGTGTGATAAGTCAATGACTAAACAATGACTACAATCGGTTGGAATTTTAAATTACATCGTCATTTAATTAAAAGTGATATTTAAAAAAATATATAATAATGAAACAGGGTGTACACACTTTCAGTCCTTCGGTGATAATTGTTTGYCCCAGGGAAGTCTTTTGTTTGGTAAAAATTACTCAAAGAGCGCCGAGAACGCGTTGACGGCGAACCACGTCGGAGACGGCCATCAACATCAACTGTTGAACAATACGTCAATAAAAAAGGAATTGGTGCATGAGAATCGACGATTCASAGTCAAAGATCTTACGGGAATCGTGGGAATATCGGAAGGATCAGTGAAAACCTAAGAAAAGTACAAACACTATTAGTTCCAAATTCATTTAATGTTTTCGAAAAACAACATCGGGTTAACGACTGCGAAGCAATGCTTTCCGACTACCAGAATCTCATGAACGTATTATTGCTGRCGATGAGTTTTGGATCTACGCTTAAGAGCCGAAAAGATACGATCAGTCGGCCGAATATCGTGGAAAAGGTGAGCCGAAGCTGAAAATCCACACCAAAGCAGGTCAAAAATCAATGTTATGTGAACAGTTTTCGTCGATTATTGAGGTTCAGACCACTTTKCATTCTTTTTGACCGATGAAACTATCAAGAAGGAATACTACTTAAGAGTTTTTCGTAGTTTTCATTAAGCTATGCGTATAAAAAGACCAGGGAAGGTCACATTGTTAATTTAAATGAATAAAATATATATGTGTATAGAGGAAAATCATCGAACTACCAAGAAAAGGTTTTATGAGGTTACAAATAAATATATAAGTCAAACACTAATGGTTAGTAACTTCATCGGCTTATGAGCTGGAGCAATCGCTCGTAGAATTCCATAAAATGCTCGAATCTGAGTATCAACGAGCATCACTTTGGATGGCGTTTTGGCTGGGACACTAAGTGATTACATTACAGTGATTAGACTGTCTTAAAAAATGAACAAAAAAATTACAACTTAAAGTCTGTTTGGAAAGATAGCGCCAAAATCACGTAAGGCATCTTCATACGCAGGCATCTAGCTATGCTACATACCTACTACATACATACATACATATACATTTATATAAGGTCGTATAAATGTAAGATTGAAGACGATCGCTCTTACCTACCTATTTAACGATGCGTGGGAATTGAGTGAATGCAAAGTGTTGTGAAAGATTTCTGCGATTTTCCGATTTGAAAATGTCGATTTCACATCACACAGAAGAGGAGCAGTCAATTAAATGCAGCGGGGGTAGACATGCGAAGCCATGTCTCAAACTGAGGCCGATTGGCGATTGCCGGGCTGATATGAAGTTGCAAGCATCGCTGAACATTTGTTATTCGGTTTCCCTAAGTTTAATGGTTCGGTTATTTTATTGCGATTGACGCTGCCAAATTAATTGCACTGACAAGTGTATGTACATTTACCGTTATTGTGAACTAACCAAACTATTGTGGGTGTGTGGAAATGCATTCGATATGTACTTGCTTAGCATTGTCGAACTATTTCTGYTGAAAACGCTCCCAAAGCTTTCCCCATTGGCATTGGCGTTTGCTTAATTCTTCGTCCATTTTGTGGGGTACACACGTTGTTCCATAGATCAAAATAAATAAATACTAAAGGTGTTAGGAGGACACTGTCAGGTCGTTCTGGGATACTCCAGAAGCGCAGGCAGAGTGACATGAGCATATTGGTTTATATATGGGGTTTCATAGCCTTCGGACAAGTGAGCTGTATTTAAGTTGTTAAGAAATCACTTTACCAGCCCGCGTTTAAATCTCGATTTCGGAGGTGCCCTTAATATCATAAATTGTATGTTATGTATTTCCATCAAAGCATTTTTAGCTTATAAATAGTCGCAGAAAAATTCGATCAATTAAATAAATAAATGCACACTCACACACAAGGCCATGCCATATTCAAGTGCAGCGGTGGAGTTGTCCCAAACGACGCTTGAGTGCAAGAATCGTTTAGTTGGCGGAAAAATTTCTCCTCGCCATGCTATAAATCAAGTACAAATCRCTTGACCTCCTACAACGTAAAGTCTCTTACTTTTTGCTGCCGTTGGCACTCGCGCTGCACCCCTCTAATTTCCACCAGCCGAACAATGGATGGTGGTGCGATTGGTGACGGCATGTTTTTGCTGTTTGCTGKTATGTGTTGTTGTTGCTCACATTGACAGTGATATCGCAAAGCGGCGAAGTGACTGCCATTTAAGCCAAGTTACGAGCGCTGGCTTAACGGCGGCCGAGGGAGCGCTTTGCGCCGCTTGTCGCTGCCTTAGTTCAAATTTGCCAATTTACATAGAAAAATATTGACACAAACAAACAATTTATCTCGCAATTTATTTGCAATTTGGACTAGAGTGCTTCCCATTGCGGAACAGATTAGACCACCATCGCCATTTGCTGGCCCGGCCGCCTGCCATTGAACCGCCATCGCCTTGCCCCAGCCACAGCTACAACCGCAGCCGCTGCCACCAATTATGCGACGACATTCTGCTGACGATTTGTCGCAGCGACGCGCCGCGGCCGGGGTGTCCGATGGCAATTGCTAAACGCGGCTGTTGGCAATTGAACTTTGTGTGGTGCTGTGTGGTGGCGACTCCTGTGGTTGCGGTAGCAATTGRCTTTCCAGCAACAACGAGGCGTCAGCAGCAGCAGTCAGCCCAGCGTGGTAAAAGTCATTTTGACATGCCCAATTTTAGCGCTCGGTTTGCTTTGTAAGCATTTTTAATCACAAACTAACACGCTGACACTTTGTTCGATTTGTAAATATTTACGTTCGGCATTTCCACTGCAATWTGTTGCTTCAAACTTAGTTATTTTCTACCAGCGACCTTCTGATTTTAATTTTATTTGTCACGGCTCGCACGAGTATTGGGTGTAGTTATTAGTTAGTTTTGTTGTTGTTGCATTTTCGATATTTGATGGGTTCGTCATAGTGTACTTATGACCGTTGATTGTTCTACTGAAAGAGTGATACCAACAATTGGATAATGGAGTCGCAATAAATTTGAAAATATTTTTTTTATTTATAAAGTGTTTTTTTATTTTTAATAGTTGGTCTAATAATCTGATTGCATTACAAATCCCTACCATTGCCTTCAAACCGTACTTGGTTTGGACTGGAGAAATGTAAGCATGTTATTTAATATTTCGATTGGAATTGCCTTTGGTCCATCGCTGAAGTTAGCTTTATGACAGAAATCGTTTACCAGTCTCTACGACCTATGCACAATATAAAACTTATTGAGAATCCGGTAAAAATCAAATTAAGTTTCCTGAACCTGTAATTGTGAATAAGTAATTATGAAATTTTACACGGAATTACAAAAAATAAAAAATGTGTCGAATTTTAACAGAAATACTTATTATCTCCTTCAAAATTTACTCCTGATCCAATGCAAGCATGACCAACCCAACCCTTAATACAATTTTCGGTATATTCGAATATGTAAGCATCCTATCGGATGGCCTTCAGCTCATTTTTGAAGCGCCATTCGGCAGATAGTTGGACATCTTCGATGTCATATTCATAAACCCACGTCTCGTCGCGGCTACTGATGCTTTTGTTGAATGTTCGTGTTGTTCATGTTGTAGCAGAATAAAATATTCCTGAAGTAATTTCGAGGAATGGTGCCTAGTTGACAGTCCTTGTCTTGATAGAAATCCGGGTCCGGTTACCTAGACCAGACCAGACTGGGAACGGCTAAATGTAGGGAYATCAGCTTGAAATCCTCTTCTCGGCGTCGTTTTTGCAAAGGATTCAGGTCTTTTGGTACGAGTCTAGCATTATCATGTTGTGTTGAGTGCGATCCTATTTTGCTTGTAAGCTAAAACTTTCGGAGAAATTATTTGGCGGCACAATGTAACTATCCGAAAGAAAAGGCCGACTATTCTAAACTTTCGGTTGAGGAAGGTAGTTGAAGATTGGTAATTTGTAAGAGCTCAAAACTTTCCTTGCAGGTTGAAAACTTATGAAGAGCTGTGAGGCATTAATTAGTGCAAATATAACACGGCCTTGATCGCTCCACAGGGTGTCCTAGCGTTGCAGACATCTCCAAATATTTCGTTTGATGACAGCAGCAGATCTTATTGAATTTATCGCAGCCAACTTCCCACTTAAGCACCGTTATTCATCTGGACTGCTTATATAGTGAGACTTGTTTGTAGAAGTTTTTCTTAAATTCTTTGGAATGGTGTTCTATCGAATATGGAAGACTGAAAACAGCATTTTACGGTATATTTTATCGTTTGACCGGACGTCAGTACCACAATTAGTTTGAGCTCCTACAACTTGGATCTTGAATCGTCGAACAATTCGAGAGATTGCTGAATGCTGAAATAGTAAAACCAAATTTCTTGGTGAACGACCCAATACATAGTAAAGCATCAACAAAAAAACATTCATCTTTCTAGAAATTCAGGTTTTATTACTAGCACTTATGTCGTCTATGTAAGCTTGTGAGTGAATCATACGAAGATAATTTACCTCATAATTACGTGGAAGGCGATAAGCGGGTCGCGACTCATCTTGCAAATTGATAACAACCATACATATATATTCATTCCACTAATGATTGATTTCACGGGAATCCCAGGGTTAATTCGAATAYAGACATATACACATACATATATTCATAGAATTGGGTGGCGAGAGCGAGAATTACGAGATCGCATCAATAAGCGAGCAGTTTCATATCAACAACAGACTGAATAACAGCACAAGTGCCGCTGAATAATTTTCAATTTTCTTAGTAAAGTAAAATTAAAATGTTCCAACTGAGCAAAATACTTTTTGTAACGCTTTTGCTTTTTAACCTTCTACTCGCCTCGGCCAGCGCGAGGTATGCAGACGTAGAGCAGGGGTACTGGAGAGTGGGATCTGTGAGTCCAATTGGAATATTGTATCATCATAATCAATTACTTGCATAACTAACGGTTCTACTATTTACATGCTTACACAATTGTTAATAGATATTCCAACCGGAACCAGACCCGACCATATTTCGTCCCACTATTGCGAGGGCACAAGTCAGTGGCGCACCAGCCATGGAGCTCGATAACGGTATGGACTATATGGAATGATTATATAATAAGGCTGATGGATGCAGGTCAATGACTTATTTCCTACTTTGCTCGGCGAAAAGTATTTAGCGCAAGCTGTTTGCCGTTATAATTTCACGAATGCCCCTCTGTGAAGAGATTACCTCGCAATGGTACAAATATTATTAAGACAAAGCGTAGTTAATGTTCACCTAAATGCCAGTGTTTCCAGAGTTTCATAAGCACTATTCTTGTTTGTATGTATGTATGTATGTATGCGCTTATTTAATATAGTTCGGCGATTACTCAGCCGTTTTAGCGAGCGCTGCGTTGACACTAATGCATTTTTAATGAATTGTCGAAAGTGATTCTAATCTACAAGAAATTATGTTTTCGACTTTCTTCGAGCCAACCCATACACATACCTACGCATGCATACATAAAACTAACGCCGCCTCGTTGACAAATTAGCGGTGAGAAAAGCTCTTGAAATGCGCTTAATTAGCAATGACATTAGGAAAATCTTTCTCAAGCGGGTTTCTTCTGCGCTTTGCTGTCGTTGTTGTTGCTGCTGAAGTGTCACAAACAATGACTGCGGTTCAAAAGTGGTGCGAGATTGTGCGCCGCCTAGGCGGGAGCTGACAAAAACGTCAAAGATGACAGTTAAATGAAGAAGATACAGCCGACGGATGGTGAGTGCACGAAGAAGAAAGTGAATCGGCAAGCAGATGGGCGATAAAGCTGCATGTGAAACAGTAGAGCAGATAAGTTGGGGGGTTTTTTGTTTTGTGATTTTCTTTAAATTGCAAATGCGACAATTTTCGTGAGAAATTGTGTCACAAAGTCAGTAGTGGCACGAAAAATACCGAAGTAATAATCTGTACTTAAGAAGCGATTAAAATGTAATTTGTGACGGATGACAAATTGGCGCTTATTTCTTTCGACAAACACATACGAACAGGTATTTCTGGGAAGTTGCAAGTTATGGAAAATAATTCCGCCGATAGAAAGGGCGTAAACAGTATGTTTGCTCATGGGTAGTTTAGTAGGTATAGCAGATAAGGTTATTGAGGAATTTTCTTAGCTTTTGAGAAAGGGTTAACCCTTAAGGCTACATTTTGCATTTAAATTCAATAAGGTATCTCAAATAGTTCCAATAGATTCCCTTACTTGAGAATAAGTCGCCTTAAGTATTTAAAATGTGATAGGTTCCGATGGATTTAGAATATATGTACATAGTTCGATAGCATCTTTTAAGTATCACATTTTGTCAAAATAAAGCTTTGAAGCGTGTCTGTGGGTGTACATTTTTTCGAGCTCCTATTCTTTGTTGGCTTACTAGGTTATAGCCGAGTTTACAACCCCGAACCAATCGYCAATTGGATAGTCCAAGTGTAGCTAGGTCCTTTCGACATGGCTTTTCCAACGGAGCGGAGCTCTTCCTATTCATCGTTCCATCGAATGGGATATGCGCCGTGGCCAACGCACAAAGGACCATACATCTTTCCCAGAACCTTTCTCTCGAAAACTCGTCATCATCGTCTATGTTTCTGCACCCTATAGCAGGACGGGAATAATCAGTACTTAGTTCAAAGTAGCACCTGTTAACAAGAGATATTTCGCATTGGATTCCGAGGCTGATGTTGTTTTTGGTGTTAATGCCGGTTCCAAGGCAGACGAAATTATCTACGACTTCGAAGTTATGAMTGTCTAGAGTGACATGGCCAAGTCGCGGGTGCGAAGATTGTTTGATTGACGGCAGAAGATATTTTGTCTTACCCTCGTTCTTTTCCAGACCCATTTGCTTCGCTTGCTTACACAGTCTGATCAATGATATCAATACGATAGGGAGCCTTGTCTGAAATCTCGTTTGGTATCGAATGGCTGGAAGAGGTTCTTACCGATCCTGTGTGTTAGTTTTACGGGGATACTAAATTCAGACTTAGCGGAATGAAGGCAGCTGCTAAGCCTTGATATCGACGAAGAGGTAGTGAGTACCGATCCATCCTCTTTTCTAGAATTTGGCGCTTGGTAAAAATCTGCTGGATCCAGGTCTAAAGCCACACTGATAAGGTCCGATTAGTTTGTTGACGGCCACGTAAATTCCAATTGTCGGACATGCTCCCCCCTGCGGGTAGGGGGAAGAATATACCCGTGGTAAGGCATGMMTGTCGTAAAAGSCGACTAAAATCCACATGCACTGTGTCTGCCAATTAGGTCTGTTTTAAATGTCAGCATGGTCTATGYCAGAAATAGTGCTATAATACTCAGCTTAAAATGATATTAATTCCTAATATAAAGACATTTGTTGTTCTAGCGACAAATATCACCAGTCATTGAGTTTGGGGAGCTCAACTGGTGGTACCAAAAGCTACAAAGTCGCACCAGGGAATATAACCAGGTACCCCGGGGAGCAGTTARSCCTTGGAATTTACTCCGATCTGCTCAGTGGGTTTGGCCCTTTGTGGAGATTCGTGGTGGCTGTGGTTTGAACCTAAATACAGGCAGGGCTGAAAAATTTCAGTCCAATGTGGAGTCGCATTGCGGCCAAGGTATAAGTGTAGAATGTATTTATGCTCTGGTTTACCAGGGTATAAGTGCTGTATACATTTATGCTTTGAGGTGCTGATCAACGAGTTGTAAGCACGCCAACAGTCTTCGTGGCCCTTTTGTGATCAATGCAATCGATGGAGCTTTTCTTCTCATTTTTTTGTTTATCCTCCTAGGAATATATATTGGCGCCAGGACAGTGCATTTTAATTATAAACCTTCTCGTTTACACTCTTATACTGACAATAGTAGAAACAAAAAAACTTGAATCACTTAAAAAGGAACAATACGTGCACACATACGAGTACGAGTACATCCTGGAATTGAACAAACGCTACAAGTATTCTTAAAATAATTGGAAAACAATGCGATCACCTCCTCGAAGAGCTATTGAGACTCATCAATCGTGCAAGGAAAACATCTGATGTAATTGACTAATTGATTGCCARSGCTCAATAAGAGGAATGCAAAGAACACCTTGCAGAAAAGAACTTAAATATACACGAAGCTAAAATGCTAGCTCGCTGTCGATCATTTTGCTCGAGCAATTTTTTGTGCTCAATTAAATCGAATTGAAAGTAACAATTGTTGCTGCCTCTGAAATGTTGCTGCTGCTTGCAGCTGTCGTTTCAGTGMGCCGCTTCTGCCTCCGCCGCTGCAGTGGCCGTTGCGCTGCGGCACGACCTTCCCATGAAAAATGAGAGTACAATCCGAGTTTAATGGAATACGTTGCGCGCAGTGTTGTCGGTGGCGGCGGCGGCGACGCCGACAGTGATGTCGGTCGGTGCACGAATTGATACCCACAGCTGTTCTGAGTGGCACAATGAGTGCGCCAATTCAATGGCACTTGGCGCCATCCGCTTCAAAAACAAATATCGCAGTACCAAAGTCGATCGAATGGCGAGCGGCAACGCGCGCTGTCGGTGGATGATGAATACAATAGACATAGGACACAGGGGGCTACGGACTACCAATTATGATTGGCAGTTATGGTCGAACGATTATTTATTCATTCCTTTAACTAGCATATCTACGAATATGTGTGTGCTTGCATGTGTCTGTATGTATCGAATGTTTGCTGCTTAATAGCTGGTGTTTGACGCTGCCAGTTAATTCTCGTCGGCTGTGTGTTTCACTCGAAAGCAAAGCTCGCGCATGCGATTCGTTGCACTTCGTCGCAACGTGACTCAGAACGCTCATTGGCAGCCAAACAGTCAAATTAATTTCTGCAATTTTCTTCGAATGCTCGATTATTAGCGGCACTTAATTTGCTTATGCGCTTGTTTGCACAAATATTTATTCAATCATGGGCCGCGCCAGAACACACACACACAAAGATACACATATGTATGTCTGTCACACGTGAAAATCTTTGCATTCTTTATATTGGCATATTGCYGTTTCTCTATCTTGTTGAGCCAGCTATTCAATCGTTCTGTAACGGTATAACTAATGGCATTCGCGAATTCCACAAATCTTCTAACTTCCACGCTTGCTTAGCATTTAACATAAGCATGYAAACCTCAATTTCCTTCTATGGCTTCGCAAGCTCAACTTTGGATTCAGCACATCTGACATTTCTGCTGGCGATCAATGGAGATTCACCGCTTCCATCGCTTCAATGCATCCACTTAGTGCTAAGCAAACTAATATAAAATCTTCAATAAACTTGTAAATTCATTTCTTCATGTAAAGATGTGGAACTTTCCGTTTTAGACCGTTACTTGTGGCTCTTATTGGGTTGCTTAGCAAGCTTAGACAAGTCCATAAGCAGACATATTGTTTAAATAAAGGGTCATTGATGAGGAATGATGTGTTACCCACACACCACACAAACTGGTATTTCTCCATTAATTTATATATGAGAAATAATCGACCAAAAATCGAACGATTCCGGTCGAAGCACCTTTTATAAATGTATATTCTTTGATGATTGGTAAATAATTATAATTTTTTCAAACAATATTTGGTAGTACATTTTACGGGCAGTAGAATAAATCTGCTCTTTTCTACTTCTTCTTTATTGGCGTAGACACCGCCTACATGGTTATAGCCGAGTTTAAAAMAGCGGCCCAGTCGTTCCTCTTTGCTGCTTGGCAAAGATTTGGAGATTCCATGTGTAGCCAGGTCCTTCTCCACCAGGTCTTTCCAAGGGAGTAGAGGTCTTCCTTCCGTCAGAAGATACTCCGTCAAATACTTTCAAAGCTGGAGTGTTTTCATCCATACGGACGACATGATCTAGCTAGCGCAGCCGCTGTCAATGTCGTCGTATATCTCTTACAGCTCATCGTTCCATCGAATGTGATATTCGCGTGGTCAATGCGCAAAGGACCATAAGTCTTGCACAGACCTTTCTCTCGAAAATTCGTAACGCCGACTCATCAGATGTTGTCATCGTTCATGCCTCTGCACCATATAGCAGGACGGGAATTATGAGTGACTTATAGACTTTGATCTTTGTTCGTCGAGATAGGACTTTACTCCTCAATTGCGCCTACTCAGTCCGAAGTAGCGCTTGTTGGCAAGAGTTATCCTGCGCTGGATTTCGAGGCTGCCATAGTTATTGCTAGTACTGCTCGCTTCTCCTAGCAGTATTTAGACTCACGAGAACAGACTTCATACACCAGAGTTTACTTTCCTTCTACCATTTTCCTTTCCTTTTCTTAAATCGGCTAAAACCACAACTTACTGTTCAGTGAAGCTAAGTGATTTCAAACCTAGGCTTCGGTACTGCCTGACCGTAATTGAACTATTTCAAGAAGTTCCGTGCGAGGGGGAACTGGAACGAAA